ATCTGCTGAAGTCTACAAAGCATAGCACACTAACCAAATGTATATATTTCGATAGTAATTACATCAGTTTGTTCTGGAAAGTGCTAGAAAGTTCATAACTCCTCATGTTATGTTTTCGATTTTGTCATATATATTCAGTAAACAAATACCATTGTCGACAATTAAAACTGCAAAGATTTTAGCTAATGCATAAATTATAATAATATATTTACAAAACCCGGTAATTTACCATGTCCGTCTGTGTTCAAGGACATTATTATTTTTGAATGATGAAAGGATGAAGATGTTAATTTCGTCTAGTTAGACGAGATTTAACAAAAGAATGCTGATGAGATAAAGAAATTTAAATTCCAACTTACTATATATATTCTTTTATAGTCCTTATTTTATATTTTAATTTGCATTTGACTGTCCATCACTGTTCCTCGTCTGTAAGAAATCAGTAGGACCACCTCTACTTTATCACCGCCAGCTCTTGATAAAGGATATTGGTAGTAGTTCATCTATGCTTTCCAAAAGGTATTCCTTATACTTAGCGCTAAGATTATGTACCAATAATATTTCATTTTCCAAATTTTTATGAGAACGATGCCTTTTGATTTCAAATAAGCCACAAAATTTACGTTGAGCATCATGTGATGGTTCATAGTTTAAATATTATTCATCCAATTAAAAATTCAAATTTTACTTTTTTGAACCAGAAATTTTAAAACTGATCCTTACAACCATATTATTAATTTATTTATCAAAAAATAAATATATACTCTATTTATTTATAACACTTTTGTTGTTTCAAAATACGAGGACATGGCGGATCCAGCAAGAGAAGTCTTTTGTGAGAATTATTCATTTATTTTATATATATTTGGTAATTAGTAAATTTTCCACAATTGAATTACTTTAGCATAATTAATTATTACTAAAACGAATCCCTTTGTGATGTTGACTCGCCATTGCTGTCACTATTTGCATACATAATTTTCAACGTTTAATTTCAGAATAATATTAATAACTTGTTCTTCATTCAACAATAAATTCAAGACAACATGGATAGTATGCCATCATATGGATGCTCTTCCACCATGCTTTATATTAAATGAATATTTAATCTATCAAAATTTTTCTTGGAAAAAGTTTGGGCAACTGTAAGTCTAAGGTTAAGTTGTACTTCGCAAATGAAGCCTTGACTATTTCTAATATCGATCCATTGTTAGCTGAAAGTACTATTATTTCTGAAGACTTATAAATCGCTATCAAATTAAGAACGTTGATTGATCTATTATCAGCTGAAAGCAGAAATAAGGCTGGTTCAATATTTATTGACCGCGATATCATATGATAAGTAAATTTCAAGTCGTCTCCACGGGTTTAGTTCAAATACATGTGATATACTGTACATCTAATAATATCAATTAAAAAATTATTCGCAAAGAAGGCTTCGAATGGACCACGTACAAAGATGGTATCTTCATATATACAAATGAGAGAAATGCTATGTCCAATTCAGATGGTGTAAAAGAAATTCTGTTATTTACGCATATTTATTAAAAATTGTTGTTATTTGACTTATCCTAACCTCAATCTATAAATGTTTACGATATTCCAAACAAGAAAATCTTCTAACAATAATTTAAACATATTAGTAATATTAAAATTAAATTTTTGAAAGTAAAAATTCAAAATTTGGTAAGGTTACCTGTATTAATTATCGTAGTTTTAGTGTATATAAGGACCATCATTAAAAACTATTGCATCCACTCCAAACATTGAATATTAAATAAATATAAAAACTTTTATATGTAAGAAATATTCTAAACTTTGATGTGGCTTTCCTATCGTCGCCCTGAATAATGATAGCCGAATTTATTTTCCGGGTCACATACACATCAAGGTTGATCAAATTCATTATCAATATAAATCCAAATCGCAAGACATGAAATATTTTTTTAATAATATTCTGAAATCGTGTGACTATTATTATAAATGTTCACACATCTTACTTTAGAATCTTGGAAGTAACCACCATTTTTAAGTCTGTAATTCGATCCCATTGCATAAGATTGTGATCCTTAAGTTTAATTTCGTTGCAAATGTATTGAGCCTTGAACAAAATCAATCTTTCTCATCAAGTGAACCTTTAGTTAAAATTTTATTCAGCAAATATGTTGTGATCCTTGGAAGAAGACTATCAAAGTGGTCGCGATCCTTGTTGAAGCTTGATCGTAGAAATCCATAAGAGATTGCGATCCTTGGTTGAAGTTCGATCCTGTTACAAGAGGTCGTAGAAATATATTGACCCATCAAGTGATCGAGATCCTTGGTTAAGTACGATCCCGTCAAGGGGTTGTGATTCTTGAAAGAAATATATTGATCTCAAATACCTCTTCGGCTAATTTATGAAACTTGATTCCGTTGCAAGTGGTCGTGATCATCCTTGGAATTTCATTTGCTTTACCATTTCATTTTGTTACAGTTTCATTCAGGTAAGTGATGAGAAATATTCTTTTGATAAGGATATTTAATATTTGTAATATTTATATACATGAGAGGTTTGCTATTAAAATCAAGTTACGAACACAGTAAATCTATATGATTTGTAACGTGATTTTAATAGAAAACTTCCCAAATATATATATATATATATTTTTAAAAGATGTCTTTATAACCAAATTCAACTCTTTATGTAATTTTTATTATAATGAATAAATTCATAAAAAAAAATACCGAAGGATATGACCGAAAGAAATTTCATTTTTAACGCACGGATATAGAATATTTATTAGACTTATAATTGATGGAACAAATTTATTATTTAATACATTTTAGAGAAATTTTGGAATTGATTGATTAAAGGTAAAATCTAAAATTTAAAGAAAGCTATATAAAATTTGTTGCATTTCTACGAGTTCTTTAAATTCTAAATCTTTTCTCCCCGACTAAACTGATGAATTGAATTATTCCTGATGCCATGAAAAACCATTTCTTATTTAAATTAATCATCAGTATTACGTTATGATTTTCCTATATAATTAATAAATAAATGTTTGAATAAATAAAGTCAAATTAATAATTTAAGACGAAAAAGTAAATAATTTAGTTAAAAAAAAAAAAGCTAAGCTAAATTGCTAAATTGTACCAAGGTGTTAGAAGGTGGTAGAATGTTTGATTAATTTATTTTTTAAATATACAGGGTAGATTTTCATTAAAGGATTGGGTAAATTTGGTATGCCAGTTATTCGAGTTTCACGGCACCAGAGTTCCGTTAAAGAGTCAGGTAAAGTTGGGAGGCTTGTTATTTGAGTCCCTTCGCAGTCAAGATAAATTAATGAGTTAGGTAAAGTTGGTAAAAAGGCTATTTGAGTTTTAGAGCACGAGAGTTTCGTTAAGGAGTGAGGTAATGTTGGTAAGCTTGTTATTTGAGTTTCATAGCAATAGAGCTCCATTAAGGAGTCAGGTAGAGTTGGTAAGCTGGTAATTAGAGTTTTAGAGCACGAGAATTTCTTTAAGGATTTAGGTAATGTTGGTAAGCTTGCTATTTCAGTTTCATAGCAATACAGTTCCGTTAAGGAGTTTGGTAATTTTGGTAAGCTTGTTATTTGAGTTTCAGAACACCAGAGCACTGATAAGGAGTTAGATAAGGTTGGTAAAATGGTTATTTGAGTATTAGAACACGAGAATTTCTTTAAGGAGTTAGGTAATGTTGGTAAGCTTGTAATTTGAGTTTCATAGCAATAGAATTCCATTAAAGAGTCGGGTAAAGTTGGTAAGCTGGTAAGTTTAGTTTTCGAGCACGAGAATTTCGTTAAGGAGTTAGGTAAAGTTGGTAAGCTCGTTATTTGAGCTTTAGAGCAACGGAGTTCCGTTAAGGAATTAGGTAAAGTTGGTAAAATGGTTATTTGAGAATTGTTACAATAAAGTTCTGTTAAGGTGTTAGGTAAGGTTGGTAAGCTATTTATTTGAGATTCATAGCAATGAAGTTCCTTTAAGGAATTAGGCAAAGTTGGTAAGAAGGTTATTTGAGTTTTCGAACACGAGAGTTTCGTTAAGGATTTAGGTAAAGGTGGTAAGATGGATATTTGAGTATAAGAGCAGATGAGTTTCGTTAAGGAGTCCGGTAAAACTGGTAAGCTTGTTATCTGCGTTCTTCCGCAGTCAAGATAGGTTAAGGAGTTAGGTAAATTTTGTAAGCTAGTTATGGGGGTATTGAAACAATAGAGTTTAATTAAAGAATCAGGTAATGTTGGTAGGGTAGTTATTTGAGTATCAGAACAATTAAGTTCCATTAACGAGTTAGGTAATTTTGGTAAGCTGGTTATTTGAATTTCAGAGCAATTGAGATATGTCAAATTTCGATATCTTTGCAATCCGCCTAAGGTGTTCAATACTTCATCCTTATTAATACTTGTAATAGTTAAACTATCAATTGTATCATCATAAATGATTGATTCAAAATCAATGATCCTTCCTTCCAATTCATGAATAATTTCCTGATTGGCATTGGTTACTTCTTCTTGTCTTATAACCTTTTCTTCTAAATTACTAATAGTTTCATCTCGCTCTTTAATCTTTTCTTCTAAATAGTTGAATTGTAAACAAAATAATTCATTAGTTTGCTCCAATTCTTTAATTCTAATTTCAAAGCTTTTTAGGGTTTCTTCTAAATTGTTCTTTGAAACCATTTTTTTTTTTTTTTTTTTTTTTTTTTTGTCTCACGATTATTTTTAAATGTTTTTAAATGTTTTTTATTATTATTTTCTTGTATCATAGTTGTTTACCAATGGAAAGCTAAATATTACCCAGCCTTCTGACCAACCGTAAATTTTTTCCATAAACAGTCTAGTTTGTAAGGATCTGCGCTAGGGGGTATATAGTAATCATGTATGATATGGTTTGTATGACAAATATTTCCATACATGTATGGATTTTCTAAAATTTAAAATTTCGTCGCAGCTATCTCATTTAATTTTACCAGAATTTGAAAATCTAGCTTTACATCAAAAATGCATATGCATCGACCTTTGCCTAGGTTAGCAAAAAAAAAATATATTTTTTTTTCTAAATTAACCGAATAATAAAGTTTTTAAATTTTTTAATTCGATTAATATTAATTATTTTAATTATAATTTTTTTTTTTTTCAGATTCATGACTTTCATAAAGACTTTTTTCATTTTTTTTTTTTTTTAAAATGATTTCTTTCGAGTTAGGTAACCGTAAATTTTCACTTTTCTTTTTGATTACCACTTTTTTTAGATGATTTCTCTTTAATTGAACTTCAGGTCGCGTAAGTTTGTTTTATCTTTAATTAAAGTTTTTATTTAGGCAGTTAGATCGCTGCAAACCGTCTTTCATTTTGTTTTTAGTTTCTGGGTTCGATCACTTGGACGCAATGATGGCCATTTGAAGATTGGTGCGATTTTATTTTTCGATATTACATTGTTATTTTTCCCAAATCTAATAATGCAATATATCATGAAGCAATGCTTTGATAACGATAGTGGACCGTTTGAATAACGTCTCGGACTTCCCTGGTTTGATTATAAAAAATAATAGCAATAATAAACAATAGATTCGATTTTTATACCTAGTAGTATTCGACTTTCTAATATTCCTAAAGATTCGAGTATTTATTGAAGAAAAAAATAACAGAAGAGGTAAAGCTAGAATCTGTAACTTCTGATAAATTGATATAGTTAATCTATCTAATAAAAAATATTTATGAAGATAAAATTTTATTAATTAATGATCTATTTGCTTTATAGTTGTGGGGCAAAACCCTAATCCCATTTTGATAAAAGTCGAAACTTTTCAGAAATTATTTCGACAGTTTCGATCGATAGTTTCGATGGGTTTCGAAAGTTTCGGCAGTTTCGATAACAACTTTGCGAATTTGACGGTTTTATTGTATCACTATGTAGAAATATAAAAATCGATTTTTTTTTTTTTTTTGCTTTTTATTTTAAATTAGAACAAAGTTTCCAAAATAATACAATTTGGAAGCACTGGTACTTGAAGAATTAGAAAAATTACCTTATGAAGAAGGTGATAGAGGTTGGTACCGGGATTTATTTAATTTTAAAAATCGGATCCGGGTTTAAATCCGAATAACGAATCTGTATTTCAAAGATGGTGCTATAAATAATTACAACTATTTGCAGTTAATTACAACTTATAAAGTTATATTAAACTAAAACTATACTATGCTAAAATTAACTTTATAATAAATTTTTTATTAATTCGATAAATTTTTACGCCTTCATAACTCTCAATTCTATTTATCTAAAATAACATTAAAGCTATTAATTATAGAAAGAATTATTTTTTCCGTAATTTTTCATAAAGGCGTTCTATTTTGACTTTTTTAAAAGTTCTTCTGTATCCATTTATTGCATACCAATTTCAAGACAGGCTCGTAAGATTATTTATATTATTAATTTAAAAAAGATTTGAAAAATGCGCGAGAGATACGGGTACAAAATTAGAAGCACAACACACAATTAAAGCAAAACGTGATAAGAAAAGAAGAATTAATGAAATGAAATGGACGAATCAGATTAAATTAATGTTTATAATTCAGCAATGGTCCGATAAAGAGGTCTTGGCGAATAATCATCTTATTGAAATTATGTAAAAGGTTTAAATGAAGGCATACATTTTTTACCATATTTTAAAAATAAAGTATAATTTTCTTGAGTTGGTTTATCCTTGGGAATACATCGGAGGTACAGAAGATTTCTGTTTACTTTTTTTCGTGGTTTTTCCCGATGGTTGGGAAGTATATAAATTTTTTTTTTTTGATATTAAAGGTAGGGGTAAAACGCAATCATTGAAAAGAACAGTATAATAAATCCATCATATTAGAAGGCGCAGTAAATTCCTTGCGCATGATTTCAATTAATCCAATACTTCTTACTGATTTAACTTATAATTCGTCACAAAGAAAATTATCAACGTCTCTCGTCCGAATTGATATACAACGGTATCTTCATTCATCATTATTTTATCCTAATTTTTAATAAAATTGGAAACGGGCTCTTACGAAAATCAGGTCATTTACATAATGATATTTAATAACTTTGATTACGTTGTCGTTCTTTTGTTGTCGATTATAACCAATTTCAGAACGCAGTTAAATATATTTGGTAAGACAATAAGCGGTTAGATACTTTTTAAGTTATTTATGGAAAAATTACAATTGTAAAAAGATTTAACCGAGGGCTGAGTAAATGAGAATTTTTATTGGTAATCTTTGATGCTGAATTCAACCATCCGAACAAATTTTAAAAAAAAAATTCAAATAAAAAAAATAAAAAAATGGTTTTAAAGAATAATTTAGAAAAAAGCCTAAAAGCCGTGGAAACGAGAATTAAGGAATTAGAGCAAAGTAACGAAGGGTTACGTTCACAATTCAAATATTTAGAAGAAAAGGTTAGAGAAGAATCCAAAGCCAAACAAGAAATTATTAATAATTTAGAAGAAAAGATTAGAGAACGAGAAGTAATATCTAAAGAAAAGCAAGATATTATTAATGAACTATTACAGATACTAATAAGGATGACATATTGAACACCTTTGGCGGATTGCAAAGATATCGAAAATTGACAAGTCTCTTTTGTAATAATTCTCAAATAACAAGCTTACCAACATTACCTAACTCCTTAACTTATCTAAACTGTTTTAAAACTCAAATAAAACGTTTACCACATTACCCAATTCCTTAACGGAACTCCGTTGCTATGGAACTCGAATAACAAGCTTACCAACACTACCTAACTCATTAAAGAGCCTTTCTTGTGGTGATACTCAAATAAAACATTTACCAACATTTCCTAACTCCTTAACGGAACTCTGTTGCTATGGAACTCAAATAAAAAGCTTACCAAATTTACCCAATTCCTTAACGCGAATCATCCCTCAATATTTAAAAGATCAATACTCAAACAATTATCTTACCAACTTCTAATACAATTTAGCAATTTAATTTTTTTTAACTAATAATTATTTACTTTTAGTCTTAAATGATTAATTTGACTTATTTTGTTCAAACATTTATTTATCAATAATATTGAAAAATATTTTTTGTTGATTTATTGATAAATACTGATCATTAATTTAATTAACAACCATTTTTATATTCAGTTATTTGTCCTTATTAATATAAAGAATATCTTGTACATTTTGGTTCTAAACTTTCATCAAAAGATTTTATTTGCTCTAAGTAGGAAAAAAAATACTTGAGATTTAGAATTTCAAGAACTAGAATATAATCACTTTTAGATAGATTACTTTAGAATTTACCCTTACAACAAATTCTAAATTTTATAAGAATTTTTTAATCAACTCAATTATAATTCTAATAATTATCTAAAGCTTGAGCTTGAATAACAAGGATCCATTTATATCAATTACTAGGAACTTAGATTAAAAAAAATTTTTCAAAAATTTTGTCTTAAACTTATTCTTTAACGTTAACTATTACCCTAAAAATCAGTTTCCATCTAATTAATTAAGCAAAAAAATAAAATAAAATGAATAAAAAATATTTGTAAAAGTTTATGTTAATTTTGTAAACATATTCTATAAACTTTTATTAATATAAAAAAGAAAATAAAAATATGAGTACATTATTTCATTATATTCCTGAAACTTAAAAATTAGTATTATGTATGATAGTTTTTCTTTATAATACATATTTTTATACTCATGTACTGAACAAATTCAAATTGAAAAATAACCTTTAAATTTAAAATTTTTTTTACATGCTAGTTATATAACGAAGTATATAGTGAAACAAGTTTTTGAAATCAGAAAAAATTTAAATAATCTGATGTCTATAAAGAATTATCTTTACTAGATTTAAAGATGTTTATTCACGATAAACTTAATTCTTCCAATTTATAATACTTTCATAAATACTTCTAGCATATACATTGCATAAGTTACATACCTTTATTAAATCCATAAATGATTTTTTTTGAAAAATCAAATGAAATAAGTCCACTCATATTATAATACTTCAGTTAAATTCCTTTTAAAATTTTTACATATCTTTATCATGAAACTTTTCAACAAAAATCTTAAGGTTTGCTAAGTAAAATTTTTGATAATTAGTATAATCATATCTTATAGTATGCATTATATTGTTGTCAAATAAAAAGTTTAATATAGAAAATAAAGTCTAAAGGATAATTATATTTTTGAAAAAAGCAATACACCAAGTTTTGGTAACCAAAGCTAATGTTGCATTAGAACGTATTTAATATTAAAAAACTGCTGAATTTTTCACTTATAATATAAAATCTACTAAATTCAATTTTAAGCAAAAAGAATATGCTAATTTGTTTATTTAATCATGTAATTATTAAGAAATGATTGATTATTTCAGTTTAAGTCAAATCAATAATGTGTTTCAGTTTTAATTCATATATTTATCATTTAAATTATTAATTTAAATAATTATATACATTTACTTTTAAATCAAAACCCATTAAAACGTTTTATTAATAAATTTATTGAAGATAAAATTACAAAAGATTTAATGGGTGGCAAAAAATTGATGAATGACAAAAACTATAGAAACTAGCACTGGCCAAATAATGAAATATCAGGTCATGAGCTATCATGGCATATCAGTTAGTTATCATAAATCTGATATGGTAATGATAGCTTATATTAAAAATCTTATAAATATCAGTTTCTGATATGACAATGATATCTATATGATGTTGATCTGAAATTTTAAAAATATATCATTAAAATATTTTATAAAATTACTAGACCCATTAGTAATCCAATTTTTCTATGATAATTATATGATAAATATATTATATCAACCTAATATTTTATAATGAAATATCAAAAAATATTAGTAAAATATCAAAACTTGATATTTTAATTATTTTATTATTGACCTATTAGCATGATATATATTTAAAAAATATAAATATCAAAAGTAATAAACAAGCAGTTTATTCATATTATTAAAGTTTATATATGCATTTTTCTATTTATAAGAATAACTTATAAATAATTTTTAAGGGTTTTTTACCTAACATCATTTTCTTGTAACAAATTGTTCTAAAATATTATGTATTACTATGATACAATCCTTACTTAATTCATAAAAATCATTCTCCTATAGTTTCATGTTACAAAATCTTTCTTGTTAATTCGATAATAAAATCAAATTCTAATATCATTTAATTTCTTATACCATTTAACAAAAGCTAAATAATATGTTTTAGAATCTTCTAGCAGATAAACAGTTATTGAATCTAGCCAGGATAGATTTTGGTTGTTGATCATTGTCTAAAATAAATTAAAATAATATATTTGCTAATTTTATATATCTTGCAGAAGCTGTTGAGCCAATTATTTTAGCTCTAATTCTTACTTGACCAAACTTAATAACTTGTAGTAAAATTGCTATTATTTCTGATAATGCATTATGAATATCTAACAATTTCAAAAAAAGAGTAGTTTTCATACACACTATTATAATAATCTATCAGTAAATTTAATATATTTAGCAGTAGATTCATTTTTTTTCTTAGATTAAGTAATTTATCTGAAAATGGTTCTGAACCTGTTCCTGCTTTTTCTTTTGTATTCTTTGATATGATTAAAAAATTGAAATATTCTATCAAGTTAAAATCATAATTATAGGTAAGACTACTGACTGTCTCTTTATAGATGATATAAGATAGATACTTGAAAAGATGATTGTTTTCATTTGCATATGATTGTTCATCGAGAAAAGCATAAAGTTGAACAATCTTAAATAGTTCTGGCTCTATATTCCAATTACTACTATAAAAAGAACCTATAAAAAAATCAATTAAATATCAGAATATTTAATATAAGAATATCAGAACTATTATATAAATATAAAAGTACCTAATAATCTATTCATGTATTCAAAACTGTAATATTAAAATAAATATAACAGATCATACATTCATATATGTGCAAATATAAATGCATATTTGGTGTTATCTTTTCTGATCTATAATTATCTTTGACTAGTTTTACTATAGATAAAAGGCATTGATACACCTCATTAAGTCCAAATATTGATATAATATGATATATAAGAATATTGCATGTGTGGATAAATAAGCTTAATATTTATTTATCATCATTTTGAGTAAATCTCAAGTAATGGAAGTAGCACAAGTAATAGAAGTAGCATATATAAGAATGAAATTTTTTTACTGATCAGCTGTAAAGCCTGAAAAACCTTTTCCTATTACTATTTTACTTAGAATTTTACCGATAACTGATAGTAACTTTAGCTTATTGACTAATTTTTACATAATCAATAAATCTTTAGTGTTATTCTCTTTTCTTTAATCTATAACCAAGTTATAATCCACTTAATAATGCCTAAAAAAAGTAATACATAGAATTAATAATAAGGAACTAAACAGAGTTAAAATACAAAAGCTGGTATATCTCTGATTACAGTACATAAGTTTTAAATATATGCTTCTTTCGAGCATCTTTAGTAATACATTTTTTCCATAAAACTGCATTATTTCTTATTTCTTCTATATCTCTAGTAACAAACTATTGTTTTATATCGTTAAAGCTTTCAAAATTCAGCTGATTTTTATTGTTAAAATTAACCACTATTTTACATCTGTGATAAGCTATACGTGTAGATATATGATTCAAAGTTTTCTTGCAGCTAATATATCGCATGCACAGCATATAATTGCTAAACATATGAGTTTTTTAATAGAGCTTTTATATGTTTTTTCTAGTTTGATTTCTTCCTATAGTTTGATAAATTAATCAATTATTAGAGCTAAATAATGATTTAATTGATACAATATTAGCTCATTAGATTCAGGATTTATCGCTAAAGTAATTGTATTTGAACTTTCAAATCTTTTACTTTATGAAAGATTACATACAATCCCATATATTACTCCTACACTATACTGAGAATTATCAAACAGCTGGAACTAGTTAAGATTTAACATTATTCCTAAATGACTGTTTGATGCTTCATGTTAAAAAAATAATTTATCATTATTATTTGAATCTTTAAAGGTCTTCCAAATTCTCCCATTAAAAATATCAGCCAATTCTTATTCATTATTAAGTCTATTAGTCCACTTTTTACATGATTCTTCAAAACTTTTTGTATTATATAATTATTATAATCTTTTTTAATATTTATAATAGGAAAAATAATTAATGATTTATACAATTATCCTTTATTTATAAGCATTTATTTTGTAATAATATTATTGCAATAAGATCTTAACTTACTCATCAGATAGTTTAGGTAGTTTTGGAATACACATTTATAAGGTTTATCAGTTGGCAAATCTTTTATTATATATATTTTACAACACTTTTGATAAGCTACTAATTTAATTAATTGATCTCCTATTCTAAATATTTTGTATGCTATATACAAAGATTTTGAAAATGTTGAATAAGTATCTTTATCAGCAAAAATCAATATATATCCAATAAATTTTTTAAGAGAGTCAGTTGCTATATTAGCTAACTGATATCTTTTTTGAAATTTAAAAATCTAATATATAACCCATGTAAAGCCTGTATTAATGTCTGAAATTAATGATTAAGCACCTTCATTTTCGTCATCATATCCTAAAATATCAAAATTAATATATTGCTCTGGATTAACTTTCTCTTGCCATTTATTAACACTATCATCATTAATATCAGAATTATTATATGATGTATTAATATCTTTATCACTATTATATAAGTTCTGCTCAATAATTACTAACGGATATTTATATCTGTTATGATTACGTTATTTTGATTTAATTTTTTTGAAATTTTTAACAAGAAATTCAAATTCTTCTTGTTCTTCTTTGCTGTCAGATTCGTCATTATTATTATTATCTTCTATTTTGTTTATCTCTATTTGATTATTGAAAAGATTAACAAGATTACGACTTTGGCTTATACTCTTTTTAATAAGTAATCCAGTATGACTTTTCATTTAATGTTTTTTTTTATATGCGTCTTTTTTATATGTTGGTCAACTTTTGTATCTTTATATATAGAGATCATCACAGTAAAAGGGGGCAATAGGTCGACCAATCAGATTTTAAGATTTTATTATGATCACATGATCGCAGACCTAACCTTTCAGAAAATATATTTTTTCATTATACTTTATTAGTAAAAAAGTGTAAATTTTATTTTTAGAACGAAATAATTGTTTATTTTTTATTAAATATTTTATAAACTTTATTAAAACTATATAGCATATAAATTACATAAATTTTAAAAAATAAATATAAAACAAGAAAGCCAATGTTCTCAACTTATTAATTATAAAAAAAAATTGAAGTCATAAAGACAGTTTTTTAAAAAATCATTTTTTTGGTGATAATCAGCAAAATTAATGACAAATAATAAACTGTGATTTTCTCAAAATCACGTGATTGACATATTATCCTCTTTTGCTATAGCAATTCCCATATGTTATAGTAGCATCTTTTATGTCAACCTAAAGATTCCAAATAATGTATTTTTTTTCACAGGTTTAGGTATTTCTTTTACAATAATATTTTTACCTTTACGTTCTATAATAATGAAATTCAGCAATAATATAATTTAATAAAGTTGTATTTTTATGAAAATATGAAAATATAACAAATATCAGTTATATTTATAATATATTAACATTGTATTTTATTTTAAAAAATTTGAATATTAACAAATGTCAAATATATTAACAAATATTAAAATAAATTAAATAATCAAATAAATCAAAAAAATATCAATTAAATCAATTAAATTTCATTAAATATTAAATATATTAATATTCATTAATAAACTAATTAAAATTTATCAAAAAAAAAAGTACATTTAATAAGATTTCTTACAAGTTTAAGTATTTAAGTTTAAAAAAATAATTTTTTTTTTAAAGATTATGTT